ACTTTGTTTAGAGAACTGAATGAATTTTTTAAAAATTTCTCAGCAAATTAGAAATGAACTCACATCAATCCCGTGATGTTAATAGAGAGTCTTTGCTTTTGATGATATTCTTTTGTCATGAATGTAATATAAGGAATACAAACTATACAAACTAGTACAACTGGCTCTTTTAATGCCTGCTGTACTTATCACACATTTTGTGACTGTGGTGATTGCTATTGATTCTTTAAAAGACCACATGAATTACTTGGCTATGTTGTAATCTGTTCCAACCTCAGAAAGCAGATGTGGCCAAAATTAGGACCAATACTTTTCAGAGAGTAGAACTGAGGATCTTGAGGGTTCATCTGATCCATTCTTCCATCTTCAGAGCTGAAAGGTGATCATCCAACTCTTCTCAAAGTTTTCAGAGGCAAAAAGAATGACATTAAAAGGATGTCCTTCTAGTTACAAAGACACTGGTACATACCAAATGTGATCACAATTGGATTCCAAGAATCAGACGAAACCCAGTAAGAAACCTGCCATTTTTAAGTGCTATGTTACATTACACATGATAAACACAGAACCAAACTTTTTTTTTTTAATTATTTTCCCTTCTCATTATTTGCGTTTGAGCTGGTTTGAATTGTCCCCTAACGCTTCTAACTATCTTTCATCATTTCCCTAGTAAAAGTAGCCTTTAAATTCCATTTCATTTCTCCATCTCCTTTACCAGATGCCATAATATTTCTGTGTGATGATAGCTTCGCATATATTCTTCCCAATAACCTCTGGTAGCAGTTGTCAAATGCCCTGTGCAATGACACATTGAAAACCCATTCAATCCACACTTCCTTCCTTGCACCAGGGATTTGCTATGAAATATCCTTTCCCCAGCTCAGAATGCCTTGTTTCTATTTTTAGAAACCATTTAAAGGTCTAAACTTCATCACTTCTCTTCTGGTATCAAGACATTTACAATTTTGACATTGCTTTTCATAGACATTTCCTTGCTTTGCTGTCCTAGTCCTGGTTTCTTCCCTCTCCTCCCAGGTATCTGTCAGCATCACATCCTAATGACCATTCATGGTTGAAATCAATTGAAAATCTTAAACATATTTTCTATGCTATTTAAAATAGTATCCTGAAGTCCCACCTGTCAGTCTCACACTCACTGCTGTGCCTTGAAATGACTTAATCATCTTATCTCTACTAAGCCCAACCCAGGCTCCAGTTGCTCCTTAAGGCTTTCTTGAATTATTTAGACCTGTTGTGATTTCTTGGTGCTCAAAGCTTCTTTGACATTTCCATTCAGTATTCTACATTATCCTCCAAATATTATTTACAATGTTTGGAGGATAATGTAGAATTACGATTACAATAATGTAGAATTTAAAATTACAATATGTTGTAATTTTTTTTAAAGAGAGAGTGAGAGAGAAGAGAGAGAGAGAGAGAGAGAGAATTTTTTTAATATTTATTTTTTAGTTCTTGGCGGACACAACATCTCTGTTGGTATGTGGTGCTGAGGATCCAACCCGGGCCGCACGCATGCCAGGCGAACGCGCTACCGCTTGAGCCACATCCCCAGCCCCAATATGTTGTAATTTTTAAAGCTGACTTACCTACATAAGTAGGTAATCTAGTGACATCTCTCTAATGACAGAGCGAAATCCTTGACTACAGAGATTGTGCCACAAAATTTCACACAGAATTTTGGGCCCCTTCCTTCCAAACATGGTTCAGAAAACAGAGGATGCTTAATAAGTATTTGTTGAAAAGAACAATTATTCTTTTCATTTAATATATTAGCAGACTCTTACTTGGTTCCTTGTTTTTACCTAATACTATATTTCCCTTTTGTTTAATTACAATCCAAATAAACCCCTAAGAAGCCTATTTTTGGAAGGTGGCTAAGACTGATGGGGGTCATAAGCTAGATTATAAGATACTTATTTTGTTTTGTTTTTCTTTTAAAACTCAGGTTTTAAAGCAAGCAAGGAACAGCATCAAATCAGAATGTCTTGGGGCGGGAGACTGAGCTCTTTAGAGTTAGGAATTGTAAAGGCCAAATTCAGGAGCCAGAGGCAGGCACAGAACCAGCAGGTTGGAAGTCAGAATGTGGAAGCAAAACAAGTATAGTTCAGACTGGTCTATGGAATGGTGTCCAGGTGGAGAATGAATGTTCTGGGTAGGTTTCAATAGCACTTAGAGTCCACAGTTTCCACAAAAATCAAGTTTAGAAATGTGGTTATGGTAGAATGGCTTTGTATCAGACACAGTTAGCTGATCACTTTTCTCTGTAGGGTGGCCAGTATCCGCTAGCTCTTGGATTGCTCCTGGTTTACTCCTTAGGTTTTATAACTGCAGGAGATGGCCTGGGCTCCCACAGGAGAAACGCATGGCCCGACAGTTTTCTCAGCTTTGGCTCGTTGCCTAAGGATTCACCCCAGAGACTTCTTACTTTGGGAGGCAAGCACTTGGGAGCTGCTTGAGGAAAGGAATTAGATGAATGCAAGTCATTGACATAGCTCATGCGTAAGTCCTGGGTTCCAAAGCAGCCATGTAGTAGAACACACAAAGAATTTTTCCACTGATACCATTTGAAAATTTCAGAAGCTCATTTTTTTCACAATACCTAATACAATGTAGGTAGATATTTCTCAAGTACCCCGCTTATTATTTTTTCTTATTTCCAGAATATTTACCTAAAGAGATCTAACAAACCTCCTTTTCTTTAGTGTGTAAAATAGTCTAAGAAATAAATATCCTTTTCCTGAAATTGAATTTGTATTCTAAATTTTAGGATAAAAGAAAGGTAATTGAAATAACTCAGCCATATAACTCAAATTAACTTAAAATTTAAATCTTACTTTTAAAAAATCTCACAGTAAACAAAGGATAACCTCACATGCATAATGAGGTACAGGATTAAGACAGCCATTTAGTCAATTCAAGCTAAAAATCTCCTTTCCTGTAACTTTAATGAATATTTTACGCAAAAGTACTGAAGTCTAACTTTATCTGGAAAACTGCCTTGGCTTTTAATGGAACTTTTCATGGTTGCAAACACTGACAGTATTCCTCTTCTAAAGAGCTTTATGATTTACATTTTTGTATTTGTCACAGACTATTAGATTTACAGACTTCTATTTCCAACCTTCTCTTAATTAAGACAGTCCTTCTAGATAAAGGGCTTAACATCCCTTTTTTTCAAGAGAGGAAAGGTTCCTTTCACACGTACAGCTCACAGATGTGATCCTTGAGCCATAGCAAACCTTTAGCATCATCAACTTAACAGTGGGTGTGGCATTTTTGGAAAAGGTTATCTCTAAGCTCCTCATTAACATTTCTGCATCTCACAAATACACTTTTTAAGCTAGGACAAGATGAACCAAGGCCACCTGTAGGGTGCCCAGTTCCCCACTTTTTTTTTTTTTTTGGTAACTATTCTAAAGCAGGAGAGTTTCTGCAATGCAAACTTTAATTAACTTATTGTGCCAAGATTATTTTACTGAGATATTCTAGTGAATCTCAGAATTGGCTTGTGCAAGTCACCTGTGACTGTTTTAAAAACTGTCTGCTCAGGTATATGCCTTGCTGAACCAGAATCTATACCAGTATGTCACAAGTTATCTGTGTATTATAGAATCTCCTGAATAGCCCAATGGATGATAGGAGTGAAAGCCAGGTGAAGGTGACTAATTTAAGTTAAAAGGAACACACAATTGGACAGATCTTGAAAGTGCATTGGAGAATTTATTTGAACACAAACAACTAAATGAAAGATTTTGGGCCATCTTTATATTTATAATCTTTGGCTTTATGACCAGTGAAAGTACCCATCTTTTTTCACATTTTATCTCTATCCTGAGCTTGAGCCAATTGTAACATTGTATTGGAAATGGCATTTTTGTTGTGGAATAAGAAGATGTTAGAGATGCATTGCAATTAGAAACTGCTTTGAAGATCTTCTATTTCATTTTCAGAAAGGAAATAACTGCAGGAGGGGAAACAATTTTTACAAAGTTAATGTATATAAAAATTCACTGTTTAAAAAGTTTGTTTTGCTTTGTTTTTAATTTAAAAGGCAGAAATTCTGACTCTCAATTTATATATTCCAAATCGTTTAAAGCTACGGAGAGGATGCTAAAGTCCTCAGCAGAGTCTATTTTCTTCCTGGAAAAGCAGGCAAGAGCTGCTATTGGATCTAACAAGTATATTTTGGGGAGTTCCAATAAAGCTGAGAGTAGAGATCTGTGCTTCCAAGTGACTGACACCTGAGACTCCTGTTGCAGATGTCTTAGTAAGGCAGACAGGGTGAACAGTTAAAATCCTTTTCAAGAGGCCACAGAAGAACATTCGCAATCACGCCCAATATTCCTCTCCTCTACCTCTTTCTCTCTCTCTCTCTCCCCACCTCATTTGATTTGATGCTCTTCACTTCAAGGCAGATCCTTTGACCTAAGCAGATTATTGTAGATGCATGAAGGACACAGTCTGCTAGCCGAGCTTTTCATGGAAGAGATTTGGCTCCAAATAGGACACTAAGCTTTTCAGCCTTCTGCTTATTTACCTAGTCAGCAGGATGCAGTGTCTCTGGGTGCTTAGTAGCTTCCTGGGGAATCCGGGGTGGGGTGGGGTGGGGTGGGGGAGAAACAATAGCCAAAGGGGCAGCCGCTGCAAAAGCGGGAGTCCATGCCATTAAAGAAAGCAGTTGCTAATAAGGGCCTGTGAGACCTAGGTTTCCTTGGTTTCCGTGACAGTTATTAGGTACCATAGAAATTGAACTGTCTCCCACAATGCTCTTAGGGGAGAGGGGGTGCTCCAGTGACAAAGCAGTGCAGTTATGACTCGCAGTAAATCGTCCTTTTGAGAATGCAATACCCCCTGGATTATTTGCTTCTTGCATTTCTTTTAAACACCCTTTCAGTGTGCTTGACGTTTTGGCTGGAAGATCCTGGCTGCTGCTGCACAGTGTCTCAAACACTTTTTTTTTTTTCTCCCTTTTTATTTAGACCTGGGCTTGACAAAGCAAGGATATGAACAATTGTGCAGGTGGGCTACTCAGGGCGAGTAAAGAGATAAGGCAGCCAATCAGGAATTGGCAACCTGCAGCCCTGCCAATATGCCCCTCCACCAGATTTCCGTAATCCCTGCTCGGGAGACTGCCAGCAATGGGAGAAGTTCAATGGGCAGAAACAAAGAGAAGAACAAGGAAGTCGAGGTAAGAGGAGGTTTGATTTGCCAAAATAAGAGAACCAAGCCACTGTAGCCAACACAGCTCTCTGCACACAGGATGCCTGTGTAAGGTTTTAAGAGCAGCTGGAATCCAGCTTGGAAAGGTAGATCCAAGGGAAAACATTTGTAATTAACAGGGACAAAAGAAACAACCCCTATTTCCTGAATGAAGGCAGGAATCAAATCCATAGAGAAGAATACTTGCTGTTTAACAGATAAAAACTTCTGATTCTTTTTCTAACCATCTACAGAGTCACTTTTGACTGAATGGCTCATGGGGTGCAACCTGGGTCCCCTGGACTGGTTGTGGATGTTGCTTTGTCCCTTTTCAGACAGTGGGACTGTTGATGCTTCCTAATTTTACCCACTGCCCATGAAACTGAAGTGTTGGAAAATATTATAACAAAGCAAAAGAGAAGCCAGGGAGGCTGTAACACTGAGGATACAGCAGGAACTGGTGCCCCCTGGGATTGGCTGCTCTCCATTCATTCATAGTGCATGCAGGTGTACTACTCGTTTGATGTCTGTTCACGTGTATTTTATTCTTTCCAAAAAAAAAAAAAAAGCATTATTTGAAACTTAACAGGAGCCATAATATTCAACAGTACATGTGAGCTTTATTTTGTAGTGAAGTTTAACAGCTGTTGTTGTAAGTTAATCTGCTTTAAAGATCAGATGCTGGGAACTCACTTTGAGTTTTTAAGAAAGTGTTTGAGCAGAGTCGGGGATATTGGGTGAAAATATTTCAGATGCTGTCGTACTTCCCTATTAGGGAACTTGAGATAGAATGCCAGCAACTGGAATCCTCTTATCTCTAGCATAGCTATGGCCTCATCCTCAGGTGTCATTAGCTTTGTAGGAGTTGAGCCGTCCCCACCTCCTGGTCTGTATGTTCATCTTTTTTTCTCAAGGGTAGGTGCTGGGGACACAGGAAGCACCAAACTTAACACCACTCTCCCCTCTTCCTGCCAAAAAGAAACAAATGAAGGTAATAGGAGTGGCCTGTCAAGGAGAGTCTGTGAGGGACACAATGTTGAACTTGACTGATCTCAAATGACAAAAGACATTTACATCCTCTTTCTATTTTATTTGAACTATTTTTAAAAATGTCATTCAAGAACAATGAGTTACTGAAGTGGGTAGAATTTGTAGACATCTTTGAGCAGAGTTTCTTGACTAACTTAGTGCAAGAGATACCTTTCCTTCAGTAACGTCCCTGTCATAAGCACATCAGGTGTTTCGGGGAATAAAATATCCTTGGTAAAGAAACTTATCAGCTTTAAATTAACTGGAAATATTCTCTCTTTATTATGTCTCTTCCTATGACTTGATAATGTGATTATTAGAATAGCAGAGAAATAGCAAGTTTATTGGTACAGGGTAAGAGGAACAGGGGATACTGTCTAGGTTTGAAAGAAATATGAAATGCTAAAAGCAAGATTCTTATAAAAGTTATATATAAGTCACTCATGCTCTAAATATTTAGATACATTTAACAATTACTGAAGAAAACTTCATACATTTTATTTATTTATTTTTATTTTAGATAGGGACTTGGTATGTTGCTTAAGGCCTTATTAAGTTGCTAAGTCTGGCCTCAAATTTTCAATCCTCCTACCTCAGCTCCTGGAGTTGCTGGGATTATAGGTGGAGCCAGTTCAACTGGCAGTAGCCTCAATCTTTATTCAGATATTAGTCCTAAGCCACATCTTCAAACATCTTCAGGAAACTTTCAAAGTCTCCTTATATGAGCACCAATCTTTCCAGGGCAAAAACACCTTAATAACATGGCAGAACCCAGTGGGTACATCTCTTGGTAAGTGAAAAACCATTAAGAACAACCAGGAGATTAAAGAGAAGAGACAGTTTTAATTACTTGCTGTAAGTAAGGAAAGCACTGGAGCCAAGTGTAACCTGTTTGTAAAATAGTGATCTCCCTGCACAAAGAAAGCCCAGGCTGATCACTGCATATAGAGGTGGGCACACTTCTGAACATTCTCAGTTTGAGATCATAAATCATGTGTTCAAAACAAAGTGGCAGACAGAGAGACTCATTGATTTTGGATGGTTTCTTGTAAATTTCTCTGAGTCTTATCTAAAACAAACAAAAAAATTAAGGCACATTAAAAGTCTTTTAAAAGAGCAGCAATTTTCCCTCCCTACTATAAGTACAGAAGCTTGTCCCTAAGAGTATCTGTTTAGCCAAGTGGCTAACAATATTCCCCAGTGGGAGTCAGAGGGAGATTCTTAAAGAAAAATCAGGTTCATCATGAGAAAATGAAAGGAAACTCCCAGTCTACATACTCTTTTAAAAAGATATATAGTTCTGAGTGTCAGAAGTGGAAGCACTTTTAAACTTTCAAATACTTCTTGGTTTTTCTATAGGATGGGGTTTAAAGTTTCTCATTAAAAGCATGTTTGAAACATATTATTAAATCCCATGGCCATTAAATTGCTTCTTTTTATGAATAAATAATCTAAAAGAATGATAAATGACTTTTAAGGTAGAAAAATTAACATGTGCCCTATGTGCTAGAAGGCAAGACAAATATTTAGTATTATACAATGGTTTCTCTAAGTTTAAGTGATAGTTCCCTCTAAAACATCTTGAACTATCTGGATAATTCCTGATTGTTGCACAAATGAGAAACATCCTCCTTGTAAGCTTCCTTGATAGTTTTTTTTTTTCTTGTCTTGAAGTTACTCAAAGAATCCATGTGCAGAGACAGTATGATCTATTCTCAGAATTGAAAATTGATAATTTAAATGTAAGCCAAATTGATTTCAATTCCACAAGAAACTTAAAAACTCTTGAATAAATTATTATTTTTTTTAAAGAGAGAGAGAGAGAGAGAGAGAGAGAGAGAGAGAGAATTTTTAATATTTTATTTTTTAGTTCTCGGCGGACACATCTTTGTTGGTATGTGGTGCTAAGGATCGAACCCGGGCCGCACGCATGCCAGGCAAGCGCGCTACCGCTTGAGCCACATCCCCAGCCCCTTGAATAAATTATTAATTTGACATCAGGGTTTTTGTTTGTGTTTTTTTTAAGCATTTAAAGGGAAAAAAGAAAATAATAAAAAAGTGTTTAGTAATGATTGCTACAATCCAGAATATCTGGGCTATAAAAATAGGTTAAACTTCAAAAAATAATATTTCTGCCTTCAAGTTTAATGATTTTGACATATTTTGATAGATTTTGACATATTTTGATAGATTTTGACATATTTTGTATGGCATAATGTTGTAATTATCTCTTTGGTTAACAACCCTAGAATCTTCACAAAAACAAGATAACACACACCCTGTTTGGGTCAAGTTGGTATTATGCACGTGGGTAGGGGCACCAGCTCTACAGGTTCCCTGGGCACTCCTAGGACAGTGCCTCACACTTGCATCCAAGGCATAGTCTTCATTAGCACAACCGAGATTTTATTGAAGCAACCTGAACCAGTACCTCAATCACTTCAATATCTCATGAAGTGGCGAGACGTCAGTCTGTTAATTTAGCATAATGCAGTTGGTCAAATTAACAATTTTATATCAGGAGACATATTAAATTAGTGATGGAATATTGAGTGGAAGCTCTAGAGAATTCTGGAAGGGAATTACTAGTCAGATTCTCCTTAGGAGTATAGAATCAGTTGGGAAATGAAATGGTTTGGATGGGAGACGATTCACCTACCCTTTGGGAAAACCTTGATCTTGGGAAAGCCACAGGGGAAGATACTGCTCTAAAGAGTTTAAAATTCCAGATTTCTTTCTCTGGTTGGTGTTAGAGACTCACAATTTAGCTTCTTTAGGTCTCATTTGCCTACTTTGCAAAGTGGGCCATTTTACTTCTATTAATCCAGTCTTTCCTTCCTTTTTAGCTATGGTAATACCATTTATTAGGCTGTAATTAATTCATGTTAGAGATTTGGGCCTAAAGACTTTGGTCTCTTATAAGAATATTGGATTTTATTAATCAAATTCTTAGCCCTCTTGGGGTAACTTAATTTCCTTCTCTATCTGAAAATTGTAATAATTGTATAATTTTTAGTATTTAGTTAAACTCTAGGATGCATTCTTTATAGCTCTGCAGGATTTGCAAGCAAATGTCTCTAAGACTCACTGTTTCAAATGTGGGGATACACCTGAGATCACACTAAGGTGCTACTGCCACTTGCTGTGAATGCTACTGTGTTCGTCATCAGCATGAGGGGATCAGATTTGAGATGATGGAAGTTATGGAAGAGGGGAAAAGGCCATGAACCCTTTCTTTCTGATCTTTTCTCACTCTCAGGTTGACCTACATGATAAATGTATTTTGAAGTTTTGGGGGGATAACAACAACTCCCCCCCATGTTTATATGTGCTTTATCTTTTACAACTTTGATTATATTGTGATATTTCTATACTTCAGAGTTTTCATCCCCTACCCCCGCCAAATTATGCTACCCTTCTTTTCCTTGTGTTTAGGATATCCCTCTCCAACTGTGGTCCCTGGGCCATCTTTTTTTTTTTTTTTTTTTTTTTTATCCCTCTCTCTTTCTCTCAAAGTAGCTGCAGATCTGTTATTTAGAAATCTCTTCAGAAGCATCAGTGAAGTGAAAGCCCATGGGGATTTTTGATATATGCCTTCATTTTGAACATAATGGATAAAGTATAGATTTAGTAATTCCCATTTTTTTAGTTGGAAAAAAATTTTACCAAAAAAAAAAAAAAAAAGCTTGAAATCTCTGGGTTGGAGCTGAGATTAGAATTCAGGACATTCTGATTTCAAATCCTGTACTTTTTCTTTGCAATTAAGTTACCTTGAACTTTTCATGTTTCTTAGGCAAAATTTGTAGAAACAAAGTATCCCAAGAATCAGAAAATTCCTCAAAAATTCTTTACCTTAATTTCTCAATTGAAGCTCACAGAAAATTATGAGCTTGCCAATGCCACACAATTAGGTTTGTGGGAAATTTGGGACAAAAAATACAGATCTTTCGACTATCACTC